CCAATGAATGATTATAAACGGATTGGAACTCAAAATTGAAGTCAAGTTATGTAGCCTTTTTATGTTTTGATGAATTTGCATGTTAAGTCGTGATAATTGAGCTGAATATTTAGATACATAAATTCAATATTATCCTAGTTATTAGATATACAAATATAATATTATGTGAAATATGTAGGTTTTACGTAATTGTTGCCGTTAATATCTCGCAAAAAACAAAAATATGTCTTGATATTGGCTTAAATATCTATTTATTGTAAACGGAAATAAACATTAAGATTCTTTAAAATTTTGTTTCAAACTTATTTTTGTTAAAACCGTGACTTGTCTTACAATGCTTCTTTATTCATCACCACAGCAACCATGAAATTAATTCAGCTTATTTCAATAAAACAAGTTTTTCCCTTTCGGACTCCTCTGATCAGATTCTATGAAAAATAACTGTGCTTTGGAGAGCGAAAAGAAACTGTAAGTCAGAAAATTGAAAGTAACTTGATAAAATGCATTTTCAATGATATGAAAATATGTGAACAGCAGTAATGGGTAATTGAGTTGATAAGAGTTTGAAACTCTACCGGTATAAAAATCACGACAAACAAGTAGAATTTGTTTATTCTAGACGAAGGGTTTCTTGAATGAAATAATGTATGCTCGTATGAAATAATATGCATAGTTTAATTGATAATTTTATTGCTTAATACACTAACAATTGCACGAAAGAATAAAATAAAAAATAAAAAAAGGATTATATTTAGAACAATTAATTTTTGAAGAACACTCACAATGTCCGTTAATTTGAATTAAAATTTGATCAACGTACAGAAGTAGTTCTAGTAACAAACTCAGCTGCATCTACCAATAAACGATCCAGATCTATTAGTTCCTATCTCAAACGATGCAGCAAGGAAAAATCTAAATGTTAGCTTCTATATTGATTTTTAATACATTCCATTGGACATTAATACATACTCCTATACCTTGAAGTTTTTTAGTCTAAATTGCCTTAAATTTGGGAATTTGTTGCTGAGTAGAAGTTTTAAGAAACGAGATACCGTTTCGTGTTTGGTCTGTAGAAACGTAAATCGCACAGCTGAAGTTGTAGATATGGCCCTTGTTCCTCGAACAAATTGCTCTTGACTATTAATTTTTTTTCAACTTCGTTTCATCCTTTTTGCCGTATTAAAATAAATACATTTTTGAATGAACTATTCCTTGTCTTCCAACTTTATAAACAACCTTTTGCATTACAAGAAATTGTTGACAAAATGATATCTTACAGCACAGACGTATTTGCCATTTATGGCACGAATACTTGACACAGTTTTTTCACACAGACATAACGTATCCGGGACGTCACAATAAAGTTTCCAAAAATTAACTTTTATTCTTTTATGAATATATAATGCAGTTATACAAGAAACTAGCGTATGCAACTGGTAAATGATGTTGCTTTATTGCAAATGTACAAATTTGACAACTCACTCGACACGCCGCTCGTTTTCGTACAATAAAGTTTAACATTATAAACCCGTTACATAATATATTATTGAACTTTTCTTGAGCAAACAATGTTTTTCAAAAAGCATAATACTAGTAATTCAGTGCTTTTTGTCAGAATGAAGAAAATTATTTTTATTTAATATAGACAAACTAAACTTGTAGGTCTTCATTACCGTCCCTTCGGAATGTGAAATCACGCGGAAATATTAATCTCCGTTGGCCAGAAACCATAGCCTTACTTAATCCTCCGTATACTGTCAATTTGAATGTTTCAACAAAACAGAGTTCTACGAAAGAAACCAAGACATTTAAGACACTCGCCTGAGTAAACTGGAACACCAGAACAATATAATTTGTCCCTCTATACTTATAAAATTTCAGGAAATTATAGGTACAAAGAACTGTATTTTAATGAAATTGTCGAAGCAGGTGATTGAGAGTAGGATATGAGCTTTCAACTGCGTATCACATGACTAAACAACTGTTAAGACCCGATGATCTGCGCCTCGTAACCACTGTGCGGCAGAAGCAGCAGCAGCAGCGACATCAGCAGCATCGGCGACGACGTCGACCGCGCCCCGCCCTCCCGGGCGCGCCCCTCCACGCCCCGCGCCTTCCCTCGGCGCTATTTATCACCGCTTTGTGTGTGGCCCGCGCGTCTTGTAGGGCGGCGAGAGGCGCTGATGTAGAAGGGCTCACGGCGCGCTCCGCTCCGCACCGCTCCGCTCTGGTTCGCTTTGCCGCTGCGCTGCGCCGGGCTGCGCTGCTCGCGCGCGCTGATTAATGGTACCTCTATGCAAATGCGCGGATATTGCATAATAAGATAAAAGCGAACACGACTTTAAACGCCCTCTTTAGCGCGGAGATGGCCGCTGCGAGCGCCCGCCTGCCTGGGCGGTAGCCCTCAGCAAGGGTTTCCGTTGCGCCCGAGTTTGCGCCGCTCCGCTGGGCCGCCCCGCCCCGCCACTCTCCTCCCCGCCACGCCACGCCCCGGGCGCGGAGATGTGCTTTTGAATACCGCGCCATATGTATAAATGCCCTGTTGTGGAGGTGAATAGGCGCAGGCGGGCGTGTGACTTATGAGGAACTGATTTTTCTCATTATTTTATAGATGCGGATGAATATTGTCAGTAACGTTTTTTATCCGGTTGGTGCTTCAATATTTTCTCGGTATGTGCTATTTTGCGTGATAAGCGATCTGTTTTAGAAGTTTAGATACGTTGGATTATGGAAATAATTTGGCAGGTCTATTTCGTTCCAATAAATAGATTGTCACGACACACGTAGTAGTTACGATTAAGATTTTTCTTGCAGGTCTTTTCGTATGTTTCATTAATAAAATTAAGCACGGATTCCATGCTTTTGTAAGTGTTTGTCTGTTTTCAAAATATATTTTCACATTATAGAACTTTTGTAGTATGTTTTATTTTTGTCTTTCTGTGATTAATTATCATGGTTCATTTGATTTTACGGATAACTTTCATAATTTGCTACTGAAGCACGTTTATTGGTTTCATAATATTGGCAGTTATTTAGCAAACTGGGGTTCACTGCTGTTGAAATGTGATCCAAATTATTTCACATTTCCAAGGAAACAATAATTAATTATATCGTATAATGTTTAGACCGTTAATTTTTGAAGATAATTTATTACGCACGTTTTATCTCAAACTGTAAACAAATTATTAAAAAACTAAAATATATATGAAAAATACTTTAATTACATTACGTAAGTAGGTTAGAAGTCTCTAAATAGATTATCATATGTAATATTCATGTGTAATTATAAAAATTAAATATGTAATTGACGTATGTGCTACTTTTGAATAAAAAATAAATTATATACATAATTGCAAAACTTTGAAAGATTGAATAGGTCGAAGAAGAATTAATAAAAATTAACAAACCGCACGTTAAACAATTCACAATTGTGATAGACTTTTGCAGATATATTTATCGGAGTCGAATAAAGATATGAGATTTGTGAGCGAAAACTTTAAAGATAAATTAGGACAAAAATTAATACTTTATCAAATACTAATTATGTTCCAGAGAGGAAAGACAATATATTCTGTAAAAATATTACAATTCAAGTTGCAAAAAACATTACACTTCAGGGATCAAATAACAAAATTTAAAATATTAATTTCAATGAATATCTTCGTATATTGTATATATTGTATTAATTAATAGACGTATTAACCTGTTTTATTAGGAAGTGGTGTAGTGTTGAAGATATTCTCGGAAGTAGAAAATGTAATATCTGGAGTAGAACATTTAATTTTGTAATATTAATTTGTTTAATGAATTTTAATGTAAAATATTACATTTAATATACGTTTAGTTTGGAGGATATTAACAAATAATGAATATTTTTGAAAATGAACAAATTTCTTTATATAAAATATTTACCAATAGCACATATGCTTTTCAATAATATTTAACTTTTACGTGTCACATTCATTTCTATCCCTTAATTTACAAGCATTTTTATTGTAAAATCTGAGTGTGATAAGACATTATTAATCGATAACTTTTTTCTACTTACGATTCTCTCATTTGATGGCTGCATTCCGTTGCATAATGATACTCATTACGATAAAGATTTCATTATTATACAGGTTATTGACCAATCACAGAGAGGTTTACAAACTAAGTATTGACATTTAATTAATCATTGAGAATCGTTCTAGTAAATGTTTCGTTCGATTGTGAATATTAAAATTGTATTTAATACTATATTACTCTTGTCTGTTTTAATTTGTTTTATTATTAGTAATTTTTACGTGGAATATTATTTAAAATAAATTAGATCGTGACTTCTCCATTCTATGTGACTAGCGCAGTGTTGGTGGTAGAGGGAACATTTGACTGTGATTAAGATCAGAACGCAAGTCATTTTCTGCTATATATCGCTGCCGGTTGCCCTTAAAAACCTGTCAATTCTCTAGTTTAAAATGTCTAGTGAATGCGAGCTTGGGTTGGCACCTCCAGTATTTTAAGAAAAAGCGAAAATGGTGATCTCGGAATTATTGCCGCAAAATTTGTTCTCTCTCACTGGCGGATTGGTAAATCAAAGCCACAGGCTGCAGGGTAGGGTAGCGTAGCGGTCCGCTTGGTGACCTCGGCTGAATGATGAAAATTATCACCCGTAGGCGATAGAGGTACATTGATTGCGGCAATATTGCGTTATCCAAGTATAGTCTTTAACTTTCTCAATGCAAATAAAATAATATTCCATGTAACAAAAATTACGTTCTATTTCAGTGATATGCGCGAGATTTTAAGAGAAAAAACGCACGTTTTGTTTTGTTCGTGTTTGTTAGTATTTCCTTCGAAATTGTTATTAAACTTGCAAACCAAGAACTAAATTAAGCCCAAAATAACGAGCCGGGTTTTTCTTGAAACAAATCCTGACAAGGGAATTGCGGAAAACAACTCTACAAACGCCCTGAATTGCGAACGTCTTTCAAGGTCTTTTTTGTTTTTCGCTGTTGTAGATCTGCCTTAATGTTCGAACGGATGGTGAAGGATAGAAAGCAGGGTGGTTGGCAGCACTGCACTATTCTTCCGCATGCAACTGCGGTGGAAAGCTCTTGGAACACCTTCAAGCTGAATAGATGTCAAAGAGGAACATAATGGAATCGGTAAGTTTTAAAACCTCATTCTAAGTTTTTATTCTTTTTGACATTTTAGTTTTATGCGAAAAAATGAATGTTGAATGTTATATACATTATTATGCATTAAAACCTTGTAAGTCTGCTGTGTAGAATGGACGTGATAGAATCGTTAATTTGTGCCTTACAATTAATATTCCTTAAGTCACTGGCAAAGTACAAATAAGGTATTCTATAATCCACTTCAACACCTCTTACTTCCTCTCTTAACCCAACTTGCACTTACCTACTATGTTGTCAGGGCAAGAAAACTTTTACTTGTACTTCAGGCAGTTAGTTGTGATTGTGTTTTACATTTACAACTTGCGAGATGATACCTCCGTTATTCGCTGTTACCTCGAAGGTATTGCAAATAAGGATCTGATGGGGTATATTGATTTTAATGACTATATTAAAACGATTCCTGAATATGTAAATTATTTACATATCTCGGATGAGTATCTGCTCAATTCAATAATAATGCTGATGAATAATGATATTGCTCCTTTCATAAGTACTTCCCAATCATAGGCCATTACTTTCTTCCTTGTGACAGACTTTTCTGCCATCAACAGGAAAGTAAGGAAATTTGACAGACACATTAATGGAGTATGCCTCGCAACCAAATACCTTGCTAATGCGTCCAGGAGTAATATATTTACAATCGCAGTTGTAGAGGGTAATTATATTGTTGATTATAAAATAAGGTGTAAATCTTTATTAATTTTTGTACTCCAACAACATAAATACTCACATCAGTAAGTCATATGAATATGAAATTTGTTTTTCCTTTAGAACAATATCAAAATGTAATGTTTTCAGTTTTAAAATATCGCAAGTCACAGTGGTTTACACTTACGTAAGGGGAAATTTAATGAGTAAAAGACGTTCATAAATGATGTATTTGCGTAAGAAATAATCGTTAGAAGCAATATATTTTACAAATAGTTTATTGTGTATTCAACACTTTTTTCTGTCTTCCCCCAAGTTTACCTTTATTGAATTACAGGATTTCAGAAATAACCGATTCAATTGGTGTGGCATTAAGATCTTCAGGTGAGCAGAGTTGAAATCACACTTCTCAGTGAACGTTGAAGCATGCTTATACCTCCTGGTGCTTAGCGACGGCCGGGTTCGCGTGGTCGCAGCCCCTCGCGTCCTGTCGCGTGAGTGAGCGCAGGCGTGCTGGCCGCCGCGCGCGGTGTGTCAGCCGATTTATGTCGCGCGCCTTTTGAACGCGCCCTTGCCGCCCGCCCTTTTCACACGCCGCCCCGCGTCTCGCCGCCGCCGGCCCCCGGGTCGTGTTTCATTATTTGTTGTTCCCCGAGAGCGCTCGAGACTTCATATTTTCGGTGTAATTCTGTCACTTTTTAGAGCGAAAACGTGCCTGCTTTATGGCCAAACGAGGCACAATGGCCGTTTGCTAACGGTGAGTTTGCTCACCGCATCGCGGTTCGGAGTAAACTGCTTCTGAACTTTGGGATCGTAAACGAAATCCCTTCCTGACTAACGATGTTGCCAATTTTATGCACCCCTACTTCCACTACAATACATTTCATTCTCGTGATTAAATATTAGAAATTCGCTGTCAATAAAATTATTTTTGAATAAGGATTTTGAAAGAACATATTGTTTGTTATTACTAGTACATTAATGTTATTTTAATATTATTTCAACGTACATTACTGTCAAAGTGTGATTTCCGTAACCGGATTTTGGAAGTGACATCGTAGAATGGCAAGGTAATCGTTTGAAGAAATTGGAATAGAGCTGAAAAGTTGAGAAAAAATAGTATTTATCTGTTAATTCGGTGTTTTATAATCAGGAATATTTTATTACAATCTTAACTAATTAAAGATCCATAAATATTTATTACGGCGATTTATTATTTAAAAAAAATAAAATTGTCGTTCTAAGAAAATATTACAGAAGGGGAAAACCGTTATTCTGTTCTTTTAGTTTTAAATAACATTACCTCAGTTCCTATTTTTATATTTGTAGTGGAAGTATATCATTTTATAACATAGAAGGACACGCTGACATACGATATCTCATATTTCAATTTTACAGGAACATTTTAACAACGAAAGCACAATATATTTTCAACAAACATATCCGAAATTTCTAGTAGATAATGATGATGATGATGATGATGATGATATGATGGTAATGAATATAATAGTAATAACAATTGTAACAATAATAATAATAACAATAATACGAGTAGTAAAATTAATTGTTAGGACCTTAATTATGTTTTTCTGACGTGGGATCTTTGCCATTCTCCCTTGGGACGAAAGAGGCAATTACTGCTTTTATGAAGGGGCTAATGTTTTTCTTCTCCGGGGGCTGGGCGCGGCAACATATGGACGCGTTGCACGACAGCGCGTGTGATGTCATCTTCCACTACGATGGGGAAACTGAAAGGAGGGGAGAGCTGCTAGTTCCTGTTTTGGGATTCAAATTATTTCATATGTGAAGGTCATTATGCATTTTTATATCTTTTGAAACATTGTCTAATACGCGTAAGTTTATTTTAATCGTTATTGCTTATAAATTGCACAGCGCCAGTTTCTTGAGAGCACTAATACATAAGATTAGCAGCAATTATTCACACGCTATTACTCCGTATCATTAATTTATAATTCGTGGACAATTTGACGAAAAAGTCGTAATTTTCTTCTAGAATTTGCATTTAAATAAACAGAGCAAACACTAGCTAACTGACTTCATTTATCAGGTGTTCTGGTAAAAGGGAAATTAAACTTCAATTTTGAAAGCATCAGCTTTTGACGAACTCGTTAAGAAACTTTTGTCTCTCTTTGATTTTTTAAGGGTCGCATCAACTGCTTAGGTCTTAGCGCCACCACTATTGCTCTGGTTGTTAAATCGGGTATGGTAACTGTGGGTTGACACGATAATTGATGATGCATAGGCGGTGAAAGGACGAAACACAATACAACCATGCCCGAGGCTGGGACTCAAACCCGCCGATCTTCGGTCCGAGTCCGCATACGCACTACTGCCTTAGCGATTCTCGGCCACCGGATCGGCTTTTTAAGAACTTTGTGCGAGGTAATATTCTACATAATAATATCATATTACAATCGTCGTTCCTCTCAAGGAATTTAAAAATTAAATTAACTCTTTTCACACATTTTACTCGGCATAAGTGGTAATTCATTTTTCACAATGACTATATTCTTGCTAAAGATTTCACCTAATGTTTGTTCTCGATTTGGGTTATTGTTAGTACTCATCAAAGTGTAGAAATGCGCCTTAACGGTCTCAAAACGCGAAGGTGTTGACAAATGTTTAATATATCTAAAATAAGAGAAAAATATAGACACAGGACATATTGATAATTAATATCTTCATTCTCTAACATGAATATGTAAAGAAAATAATTTTGACAAACAATGCGTGTAATGATTATTTCGAGAAAAAATGAGAGAACAAGTGGAAATTCATTCCACAAAATTGTTGAAAAACGAAGTGTCTTCTGTACCATTATTAAGCACATTGAAAAATATTAATCAAACATGCATCGAACAACGATCAAACGCTCTTGGAATTTCAGAATATCAGTTTCGCTTTCCGCCTAAAAAGATCATTGTAAATGGAGAGAGACAACATGAACTTATAAATTCATCATAAAGAAAGGTCAGCACATTGCATGATACAAGAACTTCGATTTTATTTTGTCAATCATTTAAAAAACAAAAATTAAACTAGCATATTTCAATTGAGAAAAGATGTTGCCAGGTATCAATATTGTTGTTGTTAAGATCTTTTCAATCACGTTGCAATCATCAGAGCTAATTTGAAAATTTGTATAGGAATTAAATTATTATTGAATAGAATATATTAAATATAAATTGAAGTAGAAATTGAATAATTATAGAAATAATTTACAAAATGTTATGTAATGTCAGATGCGTAAGCAAACTGGATCGCACATACCTTGCAGCATCTGGGTGGAAAATAGATTAGGTCTCATGATGGTAGTTATACGATCGAAAACGTCTTTACTCGTAAAATAAAAATCCTGTTACCTGATACTATTTCCTCTCAATTATTGGAAGGTCCCAATAAAAATATTGATACCTGACCACACATTCTATCATTGGAAGGTACGTATGTCAACTTCACCAGAGAGATTATTAATAGAATATTTCAAATATTTCCGAGTTCTGAGTTATCACATCAACCTCGAAACTTCCCAGAGGCGAGATGTACGTACGCGCGCACAGAAAAGAACGCGCCGAGAAGGGACGCGGCGCGGCCGCGGCCAAGAAGCGGCCAGATCGATAAGTGTCCGGCAGCGGCGGCGGCGGCGGCGGCATGGAG